CAGGCCTGTGCATGTCAAATAGCTGGTCAATGTCATGCAGGTTAGAAGTGAGAACTGTCCAAGGCTAGGGACGCACAGCATTTCCTCTTAGCTGCCTGAGACTCATCTGTTCCTGACATGAATGGAAATTGTATGGGAACACTATCTCTCCCTATGTGAGAAGTGTGCATGATGGACAGACAGAGCCTATGAAAATCAGTGATTTCCAAAGCACTTATTTTCTTCCCTTGTCCTCACTTTGAGATGCAGAAACAGCATTGGGACAAAGGTCTGGTAACACCTGACTGGAGAAAGCTGGTCGCCAGGCAGGACTATGAGTCTCTCTCATGTAGGTCCCATTTCTGTGGATGGAGACAAGCTGACAGGTGAGTGAAAGTGTGCTGGGGAAAAATCAAAACCAAAGCACACCGGGACTGCCATGGACACAATATAACGAGATTGGTAATGTTTTCTTTTTAAAAAATTGTGTTTTAGTTACAGGTGTTCATATTTTCCCCACATTGCTCTAAATAACAATGAATGACAAACAGTGGGTGCAAGGTTGCAAACTTTATCACAAAAGTTTTGTTGGACTGTAATGGTAGTTTTCATTTTGGAATCTGGATGTGGCCACTAAAAGTTTACCTGTGCATGTGCTTTCAGCTGAGGATAGTGCAGGGAAATATGGTGGGCTTAAGAGAGTGACCCAACTGGTGCAGCTGTACCTTTACCTTGTAGATGGTATAGTTTTTCTCATGCACTAGCTCCTCAAGTATGTCATCACTGAAACTGCGCAAAGACAGAGCCGTGTATTGAGCCAGGAGTCCTCAGTAACACTCCACACAAAATGAAGTCCTGTGTAATTGAGACCTAGCAAACGAGTACACAGTCTATGAGGAGATAATGCAGCTGTTTCTGCTCACACTGCTGAAATCACAGCAGAATGGCATCATGTCAAGGTCTAAAAAAGAAAATCACTGAGAAAAATTACCTTCATTAAAGGGTAATATGGAGATGTAAAAGGCCACAGCTGCTGAGCTGGCTGGCTTAAAATGGTTTGTGTGTTCTGTGAGTTGCCAACTTGCAGACAAATAGTATCAAATATGTAAATCCCTCCCATGTTTGTTTCTTAGTGGTTTTAGCAAAACCACCCTCTCTGTATGATGATATGCAGACATGAAGATGTTCAACGACAGCAAAACTGATGGCTGCATTAGGTACATTTTACAGGAAGGTAAATATTAAAAATAAGTATAATGGAACAGCAAGATCTTGTTCTCTCTACAATTTTACAAATGTGAAACATAGCATCTCCCCCACCAGAAAAGTGTTAGTAGATTGGAGGTACAGAATAATTTGAGAGTGGGCATGTGAAATCCTCAATGCCCCACTCTTGATTCTAGGTTATGATTTCAACCCATTCATCTCAGACAGGACCCTGGGTGTGGGACAGTTCCTACCTCAGCCTGGCACTGGGTGGTGTTCCTGGCCTGCTGCACTGGTCCACTGTACAGCCTAATGGCATAAGAGAAGCCATCAGCCAGCTCTATGATATCCTCTTTGGACTTCTGCAAACACCAAGAACTGTAAATGCTCAGATGTTGCCATGGGCCTGTCTAGACATTGCCACTGGAGCATGTTCCCCCCACAATTTCTGTTTCCCACATCAGGCAGGCACAGAGAAGCACCTGAAAACACCTCTAGTCTGGGAAGAACTAAAATGACACCTTGAGAGCCCAGTGAATAGAGGAGTTGTTGTTTCCAGCACTCTCTTTCCCATCTTGCCTGCCATGACCTGTGGTATGACTTTGACAGTCCCTTCAGGTTTCTGGTACCTAACAAGCACCTTGCACCAAGAATGAGCACCCTTTATCCAGAAGCCGTCCCCACCTCCAAAACACACATGTATGCAAGAAGAGGGGGAAGTGGTGCGATGTAGCCCAAGTGGGATCCCAGTGCTAGTCTGCTGTGAATGCACCAGCCCTTCAGACCCACCATTACCTGAGGGTGTATGTTGCCAGGTGGTGGAAGGTCTTGTTGACATCTGCATTTGCACCAGCATCTAAAGCATGATAAACTTTTCTCACTCTCAACTTTCTTTGATCTAGAGCTTTAAAAGGGTGAGAAACAACGAAGAGGCATCCCAGCCTCCTGACTGTGTATGGTCATCTGACATGGACAGGCAGTTGTTTCCAGAATGACGGTGCCTAGTTACCAGAGTTCTAATTCCTCTTGGGAGTTTGCCATAAAAAAAGTGAAGTCACCCCTTCAAGGTTCTAGGACCTGAGCTTCTTCTTCCTATCAGAGACTCCCAATGTCCTGGGTGGGCTGTTGACTCCTCACCCCCCACTCTCATGTCATCTCTGTAGGTATACACTGATAGGGAACACAACAACAAGTGTTGAAGAAGTTTTGGAAAAAAGGGCACCCTGGTGCAGTGTTTGTGGGATTGCAGACTGGTATAACCACTGTGAAAAACAGTATGGAATTTTCTCATAAAAGCAAAAATGGACATGCCTTTTGATCCAGCAATCCCACTGCTGGGATCATATCCTAAGAACCCTAAAACACCAATCGAAAAGAACCTAGGCACGCCAATGTTCATAGCAGCACAATTTACAATAGTCAAGAGCTGGAAGCAACCTAAGTGCCATTAGTAAATGAATAGATCAAAAAATTATGGTACATATACACAATGGACTTCTATGCAGCAGAAAGAAAGAAAGAACTCCTACCCTTTGCTACAGTATGGATGGAAATGGAAAACATGCTGAGTAACATAAGTCAGGCATTGAAAGACAAGTACCATATGTTCTCACCTTTAACAAGAAGCTAAACAACAAAACAAACAAGCAAGCAAAATAAAAACAAAGACACTGAAACAGAGAACAAAGGGACAGTGACCAGAGGGGAGGGAATTTAAGAAGTAAAGAAGGAGGATTTACAGAAACTAGTATAAAGGATACATGGACAACACCTAAGGGGTGTGGAAGTGGGAGGAAGGTGAGGAGCACTGGGGGAGGGTGGGCTGAGATAGCAGTAAAAGACAGAAAACTGTACTTGAACAATAATTAAATTTAAAAAATCATGTTATCCAACCTTTGAAAAAAGGTCTGGGTAATGACTGACTGCCATGCCCAGCATGGCACAGTTAATCAATCAGGAGCAACAGGGGCATTAAAACATAGTTCTGCTTCCACTATGCACAATGGTGCCTATTTCTGTAGAAGTAGGAAATCAAAACCTAAGTTAATTAGGTTTTGTTTTCCACCCATATGATTACACAAAACTACTAGCAGAGAAAAAATATTCCATACTTCCTGTGCTTCCCATTACTTGGATATTTTAAATTATCTGCATTCAGGGTTCTCTTGGAACACCAGTAGAACTTAGTAAGAAATATTCAAACATTTCACACTTCAATGTATCCTGGATGGGATCCTGGGACAGAAAAGGAATATTCGGCAAAAACTAAGAAAACGTGAGAATACTATAGACCAGTTAATGATGTGTCACTATTGGTTCATTAATTCTGACAAATGTCACACACTAATGTAAAATAATGGGAAACTGAGTATGAGGTAGAAGGGAATTCACAACTTTCTTGTAAACCTAAAGCTATGGTAGTATAAAGATTTTTTTAAGCTACTATGAATACTCTTTACCTAATACTAACACTTTATTAACACTGGGATATAATAAAATTTTTGAGCCATAGGTACCATATGTATTGATTTTTATTCCCTAGAGTAGTGATTCTTAAGTTATGCTTTGCAGAATCTGTTAGGATGAGAAGTGTGAAAGCCACTCTCTAGTCTAAATGACAGTAGGGCTTTGATTTGAGGAATATTCCAATTCATAGTTTCTCCAAACAGAGAGAGCACTAAACTGAGGGTAAAACAAAACCTGCATTCTAATACTGAATTAGTAACCAACTATGTCAAACACTTCATTTCTTTGAGCCTGTTTTCTCATCTGCAAATAAGAGTGCCCAAGTATGTTTCAGCTTAAAGGTCACAGTACAACTAGAATATTTTCCCCAAAATATTTCTTCTACTAAAAGTAAAATATATGATTGATATAATGCACATTAGAATACAATATTTTAATACAGGCCTAAAAGTAATTGTTTGCTTTATTTCCTATCTTTTTGGCCTATGATCAAGCAACTACTGTATTTTTATCAAGAGTATTCTGACATAAATAAAAAGTGGATATTACTTCCATCTAACTCACCTATTTTTACATTTCAAGCTATACCACATTTGCTTCACAAATATACAGGTACTGTGTACCTCCTTTGCTACCAAGAAGCAAACAATACAAAATATAGCTAATAAAAACTATAATTTAAAAATACTTTCAAAATATGTCCCCGAGTTTTTTCTGCACTCATCTCTTTACCATTTCTATAACACTCTCAATGACAGAAAGCATGGAAAATGTACAAATGTAATCGTATTAAATACACCAGGGGCAATTTTTAGCAACACTTTTAAACCAAATCTCAGTGGATTAAGAAAACTCATTAAATGCCAAAAACACCTTCTTTTCATTACTCTGAGTTTCAAATTTCATAAATCCTAAGACAAAATTAAACTGCAACAATAAGAACACTAAATATCAACTAGAAAATGCAGACTTCCCATGTTAAATATGCTAATAACCTAGCAGCATCTACTATAAATTCCTATTGGACTTCCACAAATGACTAAGTTTGGTTAATTAAAACTACCTGCCACAAATATCATGTAATACTTGGTCCTTTCCAAATTATTTTCATGCTCTCATATGTTCAATGCTAGAGGAAAAACATCATGTTTAAGTAAACAATGCAACCAATAAAATGAAAGCTATCAATCAAATTAAAATCACCATTTTATTACTTAATTTCAAATCATCTACAGGTACTAAGCCCAATTCTTAAAAGGTAATGGCTCCATCACAAGCACACTCGATTTCAAACATCAAGTACAGTAATTGAAGTTGTAACATTAAAAGGTCACTTTTCTGTGTTCCCAAGGTGGTGCACCATTTCCAGAACTACCACAATATCAGGTTGATGCTGAGAGTGGATGGAGCAAACTCCGATTTCACCTGCCAGCTCCAAATTCCATTTATGATAACGTCGTCAGACGGAGGATGTGTCAGATATTAAACTGATAATAACATACTGCACTTGATCTCAGCCAAAGGCCAAGCATCGATGAAACAGTCACTTTCTAAATAAGTCTTGCTTTATTAGTCACTCTGACGCAAAGTATACTGAAAGATTTCCCCAACGCTAATATCACTGACACCCTTACTACCTTTCACACCTGAAAATAATAAAGATGGGATTTAAGACAACTTTTCAGTAAAATGTACATAGACTGTATCCTTAGGTATTACCTGAAAACTACCAATCACAATAAACGGAAGGCTTCCTTTCTGGCACATAATTTGAAACTTATTTTTATTATGCTATAATAACTTGAAATATTAAACCACACTGCTCTATAATCTGCTTTCAAAAGGTCATTCGTTTAATGTTTTAAGTAGTAGATCTTATCATTTTTAACTTAACATTTTTTAAATGTTCAAATTTCTAAAACCTCATCATTAAAACTTACTTTCACAGCCTGTGCTCATAGGTAACTAAACACTGTATACAGGAGTTGAGCATCTTCGCTCAGCAACCAGTGTTCTTCAATTTGTCTTCATTTTCTACTGAGTTTTCATTTTCCTTGCACTGCACTTTTGCACTTAGTGAAAAAAGATCATACACACCACATTAGGTCAGAATGGTCAAATTTCCATAATTACAAAGAGCAGCAGTCCTCTTCTCCTTAGTCCTCTTTTCCTCTACTGACACCAAGAAGACTCCAGGGGAAGCAGACCTCCCTCCACTTCCTTCAGGATGCTGCGTCATGGGGCACCCCCTGGACAGTCTGAGGTTCAGACCACCACACCTTAGGCCTTCCAAATTGGTCGCACACTACGTTCTGCCTAAGATTTCCACGGGCACCTGCGGGACCCCATGTATAGGCCTGGCACTGGGTCAGCCTGTGACTGGGTCAGCCTGTCCCAGGAGTGCAGCAAAAGAGGGCCACAGCCACGGAGGGCCCGACCGCTCTACCGCACGCTGCTCCCCCCTACCGGCCTGGGACCGCGGCCGGAGGGGGTCAGGGTCCGGCCCCACACCCCGGGCCTCCGGGTGGGAGCACCCCAGCCAACCTGGTGTCCAGGGCCCGTCACGCACCCCGGGCACTCTGTCCCCCCCGCACGCCTGTCCCCAGCCCCCAGGCCCGATGGCCAGCGCTGGCCCACGTGCGCTGGTCGTGGCCCAGGCTGCCGCACCCCGGCGTGGGCTGCGCACAAACGCGGGGGTCTTGGTGGTGGCCTCTCGTCCTGCCTGCCTCCCGGCGTTCCGGGGGTGGGCGCGGGCGCGCCCCCGCCCCGCCCTCCTCCTCCTCCTCCTCCTCCTCCTGAGGCTTCCTGGGCCCGAAAGGCGACCCTGGCGCTCGGTGCGCTCCGCGGGCCTCGCCTGCTGCAGGGGTGGACCGCCAGGCACCTGGCAGGCGGGAGACGCCCGCGAGGACGAGGGGCCCTGGGCTCTTGAGGCTCCCGGCTGCGGCCTCTACCGTCTCGGCCATACCACCCTGAACGCGCCCGATCTCGTCTGATCTGGGAAGCTAAGCAGGGTCGGGAGACCGCCTCGGAATACCGGGTGCTGTAGGCTTTTGCTGGCCTCCCTTTCCTTTCATTTTTCCCGCCCCGCCCCGCCCCCGGGGGCTTCTCAGCCCGCCTGGGCGTGGCCTGCGGACACCCTGCAGGACGCACGTTTGACTTCCTCCCAGCCCCCTGCTCTAGTGCTCTAGGGAAGAGGCCTGAACCCAAGGCCCCACCATCCCCTTCTCCATCACTCACACACACACAGACACACACACCGACACACACACACACACACACACACACACACACACTCACCCCGGCCCCGATGCTCCTCCTCCCTCCCTCTCTGTCTCTTTCTCCGTGTCTCTCTCTCTCTCTCTCTCTCTCTCTCTCTCTCTCTCTCTCCCTCTCCCTCTCTCTGTCTGTGTCTCCGCCTACCCGGCTTCTCCGGAGAGGCTGGAGGCCTCAAGCAGGCCCTGTGGCCGGCCGGTTGGGGTGCGTGTCCCAACCACGGGCCTCAGGGTGGGAGGCGGACCCCGTCCCCCTCCCCAGCTTCCAGTCCCGCCGCCGGCCGCCACTGCCACGGAGGGCCCGGCCGCTCGGCCGCACGCTGCTCCCCCGCACCCCGGCCGGGTGACTAGTGTTCGCCCAGGTCCGCTCCGGCACGCCGGGGGGGCCCCCGAACCCGTGGCCGAGGTGCAGGCAGCCCGGCGCCCTCCGCGTGGTCTCTGCTCTGGCCTCTGGGCGCCCTCCCCAGCGGGTGGGCGCGGGCGTGGGCGTAGGTGCGGGCGTGCGCCCGCGGCCCCGCCCCTCCGGGAGCCGTGAGGCCAGCACGCCTGCCCTGGCCACAGGTGCGCAGGGCCGGGCCTTCGAGTGCTGACCTGGTGGCCCGCCATGCACCTGGGAGGCTGGCTGTGCGCCCGACACCGACAGCCGCCACTGGGCCCAGAGCCGGCCCCCCGCCCCCCTCCCGGTCGGCTGCTCTTGAGGCTCCTGGCGGCCGCCGCCTCCGTCTACGGCCATACCACCCTGAACGCGCCCGATCTCGTCTGATCTCGGAAGCTAAGCAGGGTCGGGCCTGGTTAGTACTTGGATGGGAGACCGCCTGGGAATACCGGGTGCTGTAGGCTTTTCCTCGCCATTTCTTTTCACTTTTTCCGCCCCGCCCCGCCCCGGGCCTTTGCACCAGGCTGGGCCGGCCCTCCCTCGGTCTGTCAGGGCTCAGAGGGTGGACTTCTTTCCGCCTGCCTACCTGCGGACTCCTGGGAGAACCCCTCGCCCCGGGGCGCTCCAGGCGCTCCCTCAGGCCAGCGGCCTCTGCTGGGAGAGTACCGGCCTGGGACCGCGGCCGGAGGGGGTCAGGGTCCGGCCCCACACCCCGGGCCTCCGGGTGGGAGCACCCCAGCCAACCTGGTGTCCAGGGCCCGTCACGCACCCCGGGCACTCTGTTCTCCCCGCACGCCTGTCCCCAGCCCCCAGGCCCGATGGCCAGCGCTGGCCCACGTGCGCTGGTCGTGGCCCAGGCTGCCGCACCCCGGCGTGGGCTGCGCACAAACGCGGGGGTCTTGGTGGTGGCCTCTCGTCCTGCCTCCCGGCGTTCCGGGGGGTGGGCGCGGGCGCGGCCGCGGCCCCGCCCCTCCCTTCTCCTCCTCCTCCTCCTCCTGAGGCTTCCTGGGCCCGAAAGGCGACCCTGGCGCTCGGTGCGCTCCGCGGGCCTCGCCTGCTGCAGGGGTGGACCGCCAGGCACCTGGCAGGCGGGAGACGCCCGCGAGGACGAGGGGCCCTGGGCTTTTGAGGCTCCCGGCTGCGGCCTCTACCGTCTCGGCCATACCACCCTGAACGCGCCCGATCTCGTCTGATCTGGGAAGCTAAGCAGGGTCGGGAGACCGCCTCGGAATACCGGGTGCTGTAGGCTTTTGCTGGCCTCCCTTTCCTTTCATTTTTCCCGCCCCGCCCCGCCCCCGGGGGCTTCTCAGCCCGCCTGGGCGTGGCCTGCGGACACCCTGCAGGACGCACGTTTGACTTCCTCCCAGCCCCCTGCTCTAGTGCTCTAGGGAAGAGGCCTGAACCCAAGGCCCCACCATCCCCTTCTCCATCACTCACACACACACAGACACACACACCGACACACACACACACACACACACACACACACACACTCACCCCGGCCCCGATGCTCCTCCTCCCTCCCTCTCTGTCTCTTTCTCCGTGTCTCTCTCTCTCTCTCTCTCTCTCTCTCTCTCTCTCTCTCTCTCTCCCTCTCCCTCTCTCTCTCTGTGTCTCCGCCTACCCGGCTTCTCCGGAGAGGCTGGAGGCCTCAAGCAGGCCCTGTGGCCGGCCGGTTGGGGTGCGTGTCCCAACCACGGGCCTCAGGGTGGGAGGCGGACCCCGTCCCCCTCCCCAGCTTCCAGTCCCGCCGCCGGCCGCCACTGCCACGGAGGGCCCGGCCGCTCGGCCGCAAGCTGCTCCCCCGCACCCCGGCCGGGTGACTAGTGTTCGCCCAGGTCCGATCCGGCACGCCCGGGGGGCCCCGAATCCGTGGCCGAGGTGCAGGCAGCCCGGCGCCCTCCGCGTGGTCTCTGCTCTGGCCTCTGGGCGCCCTCCCCAGCGGGTGGGCGCGGGCGTGGGCGTAGGTGCGGGCGTGCGCCCGCGGCCCCGCCCCTCCGGGAGCCGTGAGGCCAGCACGCCTGCCCTGGCCACAGGTGCGCAGGGCCGGGCCTTCGAGTGCTGACCTGGTGGCCCGCCATGCACCTGGGAGGCTGGCTGTGCGCCCGACACCGACACCCGCCACTGGGCCCAGAGCCGGCCCCCCGCCCCCCCTCCCGGTCGGCGGCTCTTGAGGCTCCTGGCGGCCGCCGCCACCGTCTACGGCCATACCACCCTGAACGCGCCCGATCTCGTCTGATCTCGGAAGCTAAGCAGGGTCGGGCCTGGTTAGTACTTGGATGGGAGACCGCCTGGGAATACCGGGTGCTGTAGGCTTTTCCTCGCCATTTCTTTTCACTTTTTCCGCCCCGCCCCGCCCCGGGCCTTTGCACCAGGCTGGGCCGGCCCTCCCTCGGTCTGTCAGGGCTCAGAGGGTGGACTTCTTTCCGCCTGCCTACCTGCGGACTCCTGGGAGAACCCCTCGCCCCGGGGCGCTCCAGGCGCTCCCTCAGGCCAGCGGCCTCTGCTGGGAGAGTACCGGCCTGGGACCGCGGCCGGAGGGGGTCAGGGTCCGGCCCCACACCCCGGGCCTCCGGGTGGGAGCACCCCAGCCAACCTGGTGTCCAGGGCCCGTCACGCACCCCGGGCACTCTGTTCTCCCCGCACGCCTGTCCCCAGCCCCCAGGCCCGATGGCCAGCGCTGGCCCACGTGCGCTGGTCGTGGCCCAGGCTGCCGCACCCCGGCGTGGGCTGCGCACAAACGCGGGGGTCTTGGTGGTGGCCTCTCGTCCTGCCTCCCGGCGTTCCGGGGGTGGGCGCGGGCGCGTCCCCGCCCCGCCCTCCTCCTCCTCCTCCTCCTCCTCCTGAGGCTTCCTGGGCCCGAAAGGCGACCCTGGCGCTCGGTGCGC